ACTTATATATGCTTAAGAAAAAATTTAGGCCTGAAAATCTCTCCATCAGATAAAACTTCATATTTTTTATAATACTTTATATATGACATATTGATGTCATATGAAAGGTCATAAAAAATTATGAATTTTGATATATTTTTTATAAAAGTTGAATTTCAAATAAAAAAGTTACACCATTTTTTACAAAATTGGGATTTTAATTTAATGTGGACCCCTCACAATTTCCTAACCTGCAGCTTGCTCCCTTCCTCTCTCTTGGGGCGATCCACCGTCTATATTCCCCTCCCAATAGGTTCTCCCAACCCACAATGGCTCCCCACTCTACTTTTTTTTGTTTGGGTTGTACCATTTTTGGAGTCAAAACTTCACAAATGAGTTTTTCACCCCTTGCATTGCGGGTAGCCTAAAGGAGTAATATGCAGATGAGAGGGATTCACTTTAGTCACATCATCATCACCAAAGGGTTAGTACTGAAGTTTGGAGAACAAGAGCAGGCCCTGGACAACTCCTTGAGGGTACGTTTACCATTTTGCTTTTCATGGTACTTACTTCTACTGGCATAATCCATGACTATCTTAATCCTTACATACTTACAAAATCAGAATAAAGCACTTGCAAAATTAGAAGAATAAAGTAGCAACAAAAGAAGAATTACCTAACCAAAGCTAAAAACTTTGTCACTCCATCACTTGCAATAATAGAAAATCTCATGTTCAAATAAAAAAGAATCATTAAATATATAAAAGCTTTTACAGTGAAACAACAAATCATAAAACATGTAATATGAAGATGAACAAAAGAATATAGAAAATAAAAGCTGAAAAGTAAAGATATAGAATCGAACACCTTGGCTTCCATTTCCCTCAGAAGACACACAAATCGTAATTGATGATGAAATTTTAGTTTTTTCTTAAACTAAGAAACAAACAATTATATGAATTCATTAACTTATCTAAAATCAAAATTAAAGAAGAATGATGAGGAGGACTCAAGGTAATCCATAATCTCAAAAGGAGGACTTACAAGTTACAAAAATATGTCATCTTCAAACAGAGACCACAAAAATCATCTAAAAACATAGAATAATTCTCCGTAAGAAGTCACATATGCCAAATTCAAAAGCAACACAGATTTAAATACTTCACATCATATAAAACACACTTAATCAGAATCGACCAAATCATTGAGCTCAATTGAATCATGATATAAAAAAAAGGAGAATTGAGAAATCGATAAGATTCACAGAATCATGAAATCCACAAATTTAATTGGTTTGAACCTCAATCTGAGCTTCGACTTTCGGATGTTGATACTCCGTCCAGATATGCAGCTGAAATCGCAATGGAAGAGAAAGCATGAGTGTTCCGCATCCGCATAGATCGTTCACATATTCAGATGATAAGAGATATACGATAAGAGATACAGAGATCGGCGGAAGTCGGCAATTTATTTGGTATGTGGCGAGACGAGACGGGAGATGAGAATGGGAGACGAGACGGGAGATGAGCCGATGAGGTAGCAGATCAAAATGGATGTATAGAATATTTTTGAAATAAAAAGAAAAAGGTGAAAAGATGAAAGTCTATATATGAAAGAAATATAATGTTGGGACATAAATGAAATGTGACTTGTAAAACTGACCCATTCGGGTAATTACCACTATTTATTTTGGTAGCGGAGGGGCTGAGTGCATTGCTTAGGAGGCAATAAGTGAAAGGAAATATGGTTGGCATAAAGGTGACAAAAGGGGGACCTAATATATCTCATCTATTTTGTTGACGATAATTACCTATTTTTCAGGGCTCGAGATAAGGAGTGTGAGTCGGTCAAGAATTTGTTACTTTTATAAGAGAGGAGCTCAGGGAAAAAGGTAAATTATGAAAAATCTTCGGTTATGTTTAGTCCAAATTTACTTGAAGAAAGGAGAGGTAATATTTGTAACTCTGTGGGAGTTGTTTGTGAAGGTGAGAATCCTAAATATTTAGGCCTCCCTTCGTTGATTGGTCGGGATAAAATTGACATTTTTTTTTTATCATCAACTACAACAAATCTTATTAACTTAAAAGGCTATTAGTCAATTGGCTAACAATACAATGCGAAACTACATCATAATTGCTATTCTGATCTGAGGCATTAACGTGTGCTCTTGCAAGCGCATGAGCAGCATGATTCGCAGATCGTTTACAAAAAGACACAATAAAATTAATCTTTGTATCAAAAGCACTCCTGATATCATCAATAACTATGTGTAAATAGGAAGATCCGCCCCCTTTGTGGATCCCTTGCACCACCGTCATAGCATCTATCTTGAATTCCACCCTGCTCAATCCTTCCTCAATTGCTCCTGCTATGGCCTCCTTCAGTCCTGTTGCTTCCGTCTCAGCCGCTAACCAATTTGCCTTGGTTGATCCCCGTGCTTTAATAAAATTTCCATTTTCGTCTCGAGCCACCCAACCCCACGCTTGGATCCTCCCGGATTGATTAACCGCCCCATCCACATTAATGTTTATGTATCCTCTCGCAGGCTTCTTCCACCCCCCAGGCTTCTTCCACCCCCCTGCCCCCTATTTTCTTGTTTCTTTTTTGGTGGCTTCGCCTGTTTGAGCCTCTTGCCAGCTTGCTAGCATACCTGCCGCTCCTCTTCGCCTAAGATTGTCCACCGTCGGTAATGAACCGTCTAATACCTGCCAAACAAAATATTTAAATTTAGGGGTACCTTAGATCTTTCCATTCGTCAGCTGCTACTCCTTGAATTTCTCTCATCTGAAATCTATAACAATTCTTGATCGAAAAACGCCATTATTTTCTCCATTCCACCAAAAACTGTCAACCCGATCAACAGCACCAATAGGAATATTCTGGGTTATTTAAAAAAGAGAATCTTGCTAAGGATCCATAGTTGGAATAACATATTTTTATCTAAGGCGGGACAAGAGGTTATGCTAAAAATGGTCATACCAGTTATATATGCCTACTGCGATGAATGTCTTTTCCCTACCCAAGCATATGTGTTTGGAAATAGAAAGGATAATGAACGAATAGAACGATTATTGGCGGAAAACGAATAGAACCGAACGATATCAAGAAAAGGGATTGAGGAGGAAAATTGGTAATGGGCAGCAGGGCAGGCTGTCTCGGTGTGGCGGGATAAATGGTTACTACGGGAAGAAGATTGGAGGATACATACATACTCAACCAACACAAGGGATCGCGGACATGATCGTTACAGCTCTTATGATGGAAGATGGGAGAAGCCGGAACATCCAAAGAACAGAGAATTTATTCTATCCTAAAGAGAGAAGAGCAATACTATCTATTCCCTCAAGTAGAAGGAATGTTGTAGATGGGGCGTGGTGGTTTACACATATATTCAAAAGTGGGTATAGGTTGCTAAAATGATGCATAAAATATATGGGCTGGACAAATGAATGGGTTTAAGGATATTTTGATAACTTGGGTACGAAATATCTCTGTTGTTCTATACTTCTATCTATGCTGAATGAGATTGTTTATTTTGATTCACCCCTTGTTGTACCCCTGCGCGCGTGGAGAGAGCCTTTACCCTTAGGAATCTTAACTCCATAAGGGGGAGTCCCTTTATAAAGGGTTGCAAATCCCTTGGGTTTCCGGTGTGGGAAATTAACACACTAGAAACTCATCTTTTTTCCCTTCTAACGGGTAAACTTCGAAAAGCGATTTCTCATTCACCCGTTATCCGTTTTGAGCGTACCATATATCGAATTGTAGCCTTTAACAAGGACAATCCGAAACCACTTTGACCCGACCCAAATCGGAAGTGGACCCCACTCAAAAAATTGCCCCAAAATAGCCATTTAATGCAATTTTTCACACATTTTTCCAACAACAAAAATGGGAAACTTCATTTTTATAGGGGTGGGGAAAGTACTAAACCGGTATCATACCGAACCGAACCGGTATAGCACCAAACCGGAAATTGGGGTTTCAAATGAATTTCTAAATTTTTATCTTGAACTGTACCATACCGATTTGAAACCATGCCATCACCGGTTCTCATTAAGTAAGAACCAATACCGGACCGAACGTGATCGAAGTATAGGTTCAAGATACATGAATATCATGAGTCCTTAATACATAGTACCTTTTTTTCTTTATTAATTGTTACTCCATCCAGTTTGATAATTAATTTTACTTTACGTAGTACCTAATACCATAAGTCCTCTACTCCAGTAAATATCAATTTTATAAGTCCCTAATACAGAGTTTGCAATTACAATGCTTAGGATTTTAAACTAAAGTCATGAATCTGATTTATGTATTGTACTACTCCGTACTAGAGTTTACTTTAAATTTATTAGCTGCTACGTAATATGGAAATCGGCAAATTATGTGAAGTTTTGGAGTACAGCTAAACTTTAATTTCACTTTAAACAATTGAAAGAAGTGCATTGTTTGGAATTCATATGGTATAATACCGTCCCGTTTGTAAATGGAACGTATCAAATAGGTTTAGGTCTAAGAGCGAACCGAACCATTTCAATAATCACAGAACATATACGGGTTCAATAAAATATTGGACCGTCCCGGACCGTGCCCACCCCTAATTATTAAACGGAAAAATAATTGTTAAAGAGTTTTTATAGAATTTCTAAAATGAAAACGTACTCTTTCTTGAGAGTTTATGTGTTTAGATTCATTTCATTTTAAAGACCAATCTTAAAGGAATACTTTTAATTTGTCAATAAAGAAGTAACACTCGCTCCTTTAATTTTATGGAAAGTGCCACACTCTATTTCCACCGAAATAAATACTACCTTACAACATTTTAAATTTTTAACAGAGCACAATTAGGGATGGCAATGGCAAATGGGGTGAGGGGTCACTCCTCGATCTCCACCACATTTCCGCCCCGACCGCTAGACCCACGGATACCCAACAGGAGGAAGTATTTGTCAAAGTAAAATTAAATAATACTACGTATATTTGAAATAAATAAATTTGAAACTCAACTAACATATACTCCGTAGTCCGTACTTTTTAGCTACTTGCAAACAAAATAAAAGATTTGTTTCAACCGCTATTTTTCTATAATGTTATAGCACAAAAAAATGAACAAAGTTACAAAGATGATTATAGTCTTGAAGATTCCTCAACAACCTCGTTTTTGGCAAATCAAAGTTTGTATAGGTCTCAAGTGTGAACCAGAAAGCCCTAGATGCCAAGGTTTCATGTTAAAGAATGCCAAGAACAACCATGAAAAACATGTACTTTCAAAGTAAAAGTTACCGCCTTGACATGTTGCACCACAATATCGTACAAAAAGTTTTCAATAAGTATAAAAAATGCAAATGTGCTACCTTCAAACAGCTTCAATGCTATTATAGCTTCTTAGTTTCTTATTATGCAGATGTCCAGCAAGAGCTAGCACTAAACACCCTACCTTTCCACCCCTGTAGTATCCAATGACCGTCTTCTAAAAACAGAAACTTATTGTGAAATCCGGCCTTTGCCTTGTCTCTCATCTCCTCCGCAAGCTCGGGTCTTATGGGCATAGGCTTTAACCCAGCTCTCAAGTTACGCAAATGCCACTGCTTGTATGTTTCAGGCCTATGTAATCTTTCATTGCCTTCACATGCTAAGATACTCATTATTTCACATCCCCGGGCTTCTTCAAAACTCAACCTGTCAGGATCATCGCAAGGTAACGTACCATCACACATATCAAAGAGTGCAGTGTAGAAGAAGAGAGCTTCTCGGAACCGATTTATAAAGAAAGCAGAGCTGTGGGCTCCACTTAGCAATGATTGCACATATATTTTAGGATTCGTTTCACGGATTAAGTTTAGAACTGCATCCTTAGGGAAAACCGGAGTATCTGCAGCAGCTACTGTCTCATCAAGTAGGTTTTCGAATTGATACAAACAGTTAATAGCAACAATCTCACTAGTCACAAGCTTTAAATCCTCAAGTTTAACTGTCTCCCAATTTTGAGTTGTTATGGCATTGTACTCAAATGGTACACCAAAACGTTCACAACATTTTGTCAAAAGACAACCAGTCGTTTTTACCATTTCTTCAGGACGAAAACCAGGTTGGGGAAGCTGAATTGCAGTTATTCGAAGTTTAGGAGGTCCACCAGGTCTTAGTGATAGTTTCTGAATAAGGATGGGCCACTGGAAACCATAAATAATACCAAAATCTATGATGTGAAGCGATTTACTTTCCAATGCAACTTCATAAATCATTGTATTTGCAAGGAAAAACGATGTACTCATGAACGGCCAAGCTTTAAAGCAGGTGCGATAGGCTGATATCATTCTAGAAGCTGATATCGTATTCGAAGATAGTGCTGCATATAGTTGTGGCCCAGTTCCATCCAACCGTGCCTCAAGAGCATTTGCAAATGCATGACCCAGCCTTTGATTTGCATCACCGGTTGGCGAAGAGTGCATCCTAATCTTCATTAGCTTTTCTTTCGCAATCACATGTTCAACATCAGCAATAGATTGTGCACAGCTGATTAAAAGAGACGGCAGATCCACATTTTCACAAGTCTTTCCTGGTTTCTTTGCATAACCCTTCCCACGACCTCGTCCTTTCTGTTGGGTGCCCTTTCCGAATACAGATGGAGGTTCCTTGTTATTGCTAAACAGCAAAACCTTATCAAACACCTCTGCTAACTCAACCTCCTCCTCCTCATAAATTGTAGACTGCTTAGTGCGCCTTTCTTCCTGTAACCCGACATCACCAGAATGTTGATGCTTCTTTCCTCTAGAGGTGTCGGCCGAATGCCCCTTATCTGTACTGAGAAGCAGCTGATCTTCGGAAGGAAGAAATCTACTTGCTTCCTCTATACCTCTCTTAAACTGCAAGGTAGACTCAGTATCACTATATACATTTGGACCCAACTTAACAGTGTTCAAAGAGTCCATTTGGGTATTCATAATACTATTCAAGCGAAATGAAGAACCATTTGACCTCTCCACATATGATTTAGATAGTCCGGGGTGACAACTACTGGAGCTCCCAAATGTGCTGTCCCGGCTTCCAGATTTACTGTTAACAAAAAGAGGTTCTTGATAAGGTGATGACGGGTTTTGATGGAAGGCTTCATAAAAGAAATCCTCAGCAGCTCTAAGGGAAATAGGGTCATAATACAAGCTGGGATTATTATTCTCATCAATATTACTATCCTCCAGTAGCATCTGGCTAATGTACTTGAGCGTGGGATCAGAGTAGTGATCATGTTGGGAGTCCAAAGTAGGAGCATGTGTGACCAACGAGGCATCTTTATGGCTGTCTGGAATGTCTTGTGATTCTTTTAAGGTAGAAAGAATGATCTCATTCTCCAACTCAGGTTCATTTGCAGGGGACTCAGACATGATCACCAACCATCAATGTGAAGAAACCTATATCCACGTAAAGACAAGTGGGTAAATAACAACATATATAACAACTAAAATGGATTTTCCAATTATCATATACTGTAATATAATACCATCCATGAATGGTCATTCTACTGCACTTGTGGTAGTTTTAGTCCTTCATTGACTGCATTTTAACCATGGGGGCAAAACATTGATCTCGTTGGGGAAAAGCAACTAAAAGTACAAGTAGACTGTAGAGACTATAGTTGCTATAGAAGCATCGTTAAGGGTGTAGATAGGGGATGACTATGTAAACAGCCTATCATCCACTTTTGGCTTTTTAGATTAACTTTGGTAGTGTGACACTGTGACTTTGTCAAAAAGCTATTTTTAGGCTATTTTGGATGAACATGTCAGCTCAAAATGAGCTTCAATTTAATAGGTGTAGACAATTAATTGACATGTATCCTTGTATCGATGAAAAGCTTAACTTGACTAGATCTAAAATTAATCAACTCATTTGAAATGTTACTAATTATAGTGTTTCAGTTTAATTTACCACAAGTTTATGTCTTTTCATACAGGGTTGGGGTGCAAATAGATAGTTTTTTAAATACAGGGTGCAAAGTTCAATTTGGACAATAAAATGAGATGCAAACTCAAATTACCCCAAATAAATATTTACCTAGTACAAAATGGAGCTTGAGTTTGGCTTGATAGATTTTCGGTGTTCGTTTCGAATGCTCGATTAGCTCGATAAACATGCTCGAATGTAGAAGTTTAGACTATCCTCGTTAATAGATTCATGTTCGAATTATTCAATAAATACTAGAATCTTTAATAATCATTTAAAAAAATTATAAATCGCACTGAAAACGTTTAATTTTTAAGATATATATTCTTACAATTGATAAGTGATCGATAGGCTCCAGTTCGGATCAAACCGAACATCTCCATGCTCGAAATCAGCTTGAATAACTAACTAATCAAACTCAAAATCTATCATGTGTTCGAGTTCGAAGCTCGTTAAGCTCGGGTCGTTAAATTAGATTTGAAATCAAGTTCGAACTCGAGTAGTTCAAAAAAAGCTCGGTTCCATAACAGGCTTAAGCTAAAACTTGTGTGTGTAGTAATAACTTTTTTTAATCTTCGCCCACCCACCTCTCATTCCTGGATCCGCCGCGGTGCATAAGTGTATATATTTAAAAGATAATGGTTGTAATTACATAAAATAATAGTAAATGTAATTTTAAAAACATTTTCCAAAACTTATCAAAGAAATTAAAATATAAAAAATTATGTTAGATATATAAGTATATACGAAATACTTTTTATTCATATGTCATTTTAGGTCTTATTAAGGGTTTATAATAAGCAGTTAAGTCACCAACATTTTAATCCGCTAATCAGATTTAAAAATTACTCAAGGATAGCCACAACTCACAAGGGAGAAACTGAAGACTAAACAGCCAAAGTAACAATTCATTATAACTAAGATAATCAGAGCACCAACACTTGAATTGCTCAGCAGTTAAAGGTTTTCATTTGAATACTCCGTATAAAAGAGTTTTTTCGTCCTCCGACTATTATGTCATTGACATTTTTGGTACTCGACTTTGAGTTTTTAGTCCGCTAAAGACACTTTTGGTACCCGTCTGTGAAAATTTCCATATTTAGTCCTTCAACATTCATTAAAGTGACATTTTTGTCCTTCAACTATTATAATAGTGACATTTTTAGTCCTCCACTTATTGTGTGAAAATCACAATGAGAGGACCAAAAGTGTCAATTTGACATTACTTAGAGACTAAATGTGGGAAACCTTAAAGTCGGGGATTAAAAGTGTCTCTAACACAATAGTCGAGGACTAAAAATGGAAAAGTTAGAAGTCGAGTACCAAAAATGTCATTGACATAATAGTCGGGGACAAAAAATGGCAAAGACTCACGTATAAAATAATATGTTAATGCCTTAGATCGTCACCAGCAGTAAATGAGTTCAACCAAATAAGATATAGGAGGTGTTTGGTTAGTGGCCTATCAGCCATTTTTTGGCTGATTTGACTGATTTTGGCCTTTTGACCAGCTCAATCAGCTAATTAGGATGTTTAGTTAAATGACTTTTCTATTTAGCTTTTTGTTCCAAACAGCCAACATTCTAAACGCCCAGGGGCGGACCCAGGAAATTTGTCTTGGGAGGGTGGTAACTTAAACAAAATATTTTTTGGGAGGGCGAAAATTATTTTTTATTATATATATACACTAAAAAATTTTGTTGTTGGAGGGCGACCGCCCCCTGGGTCTGTACTACGGTCCGCCCCTGTAAACGCCACTAACCTTAGCGTTTTGGGCATGGCTGTTTCTATTACAATCTTGTTTTCCTATTTTATCCTAAGTAGTTATTGATTCTTTTTCCAATAAACTATTTCTCGTCTGCCATAATAATCAAAATCACACTTGTCGGTAGTTTAATGATCACCATGGGCCATAATAGTAGTGGACAATTTGACTTCTATTTACCTCACATTTATATAAGAATTTTTTATCCTAGAAAAATCATTTTAATAAATAATAACTCAAACATAAACCTTTGGCGACTTAACAAACGAAAGACTAGTGACCTCAAAACAAAAATTAAAGACTAGAGACGGTAGTGTTTAACAAATTAAACATTTGTATAAGGAATTTTGCTCATAACTAAATTAAAAATACTAATTCAATTTATTATTTCGTGAAAATGTTTAAAATAATTATTATTTGTGTTAATACATTTTATTATTTTTAACTCATACGAACGGTTTAGTAAAAAAACTCATTAAAATGGTTTATGTAGTTGTGCTAATTACATTAATAAAAAATTAATCCATGTCCTTAATAGTCATTTACTAAGTTATCAGCTGATTGTAAACAACAATTTAACCAAACACGATTTTACAAACGGCTAATCTCATCAGCTAACCAAAACAGTCAACGATCCGCTGTCATCAAACCATCAAACCGCTAACACAACCAGCCAACAGCTAATTGCCAAACACCTCCCTACTCCGTATATAAATAGACAGAAATGGAATCACCTTCTAATAAATAAATAAATAAAAAATCTTTACATTACACTATAAATAGGAAAAAAGAAAATGGAATGGACATCAAGTCCTGGAAATTAGTTCTTTTTGTCTTGGAGATCTGAGGAAGTACCTTAGAGTGAGAAGTGGGAGACGAGCGAAGAGTTGTATGATAGCAGCAAAACAACTTAAGCGTACCGAGGATTCGGATACAGGACGAAAGAGAAAAGAACCTCAAGTATGAATTTTCCATGAAATGACTCATGACTTTGAGAGAACGTGATTGCCAATCAAAATCCTGAAAGCAAGCAACTACAGACGACTGGGGAGTTGAAATTTGTTTTCTAAGGGGTGGAAAGCTACAAGTGACCGGGTAATTTGTTTTTCCCCTTTCAACAATTATTGTACACATTTGGTTACGATCGGAACAACCGAAAAATGAATCAAATTTAATCGAATTGAAACCAAATAAAATCGAATCGCAAAAAAATCAAAATCATATTTAAAAAATTGAACCGAACCGTACTTGTTTGATTCGGTTTTGGTTTTTACCCTTTAAAATCGAACCGAACCGAACTAACCGAACTAATTAAAATATGACATTTTATTTATCAATTGTTAAGCATTAATCCTAATTAATTCTAATATCATCGATTATCTTTGTTTTCTTGTGCTAGAGAAATAATGTTTTTGTTAGGTTTAGTTTAGTTTAATTTATAAATGCAGTTACACATTCATTGCATATATTAATGTAGCCATATTCATCTACTAGTTTTCAAGCCCGTGCGATGCACGGGCAGTTCATAATTTAGCTAATTGTAAATTTTATATTTTCGGAATCATATATAATTTAATGTGATGCAAAAGCAAAATAAAGTCAGTCTAATATAAAGCCGTTTGATAATACTAAAATTGGTCGAATTGTCTGACTTTATTGTAAAGAATTAAATCTAACTGTTTGGGCTAAATTGACGGAATCTCCCAACAATAACAACAACATCCAAGCCTTAGTCCCAAAAGATATTGACGGAATCTCCCAAATTATGAAAAAAAAATACAATATACTATGTATCATGTATATAATTAATAAAATAAATTAAAATTTATATGAAAAATATTTAAAATGGACTTCTACATAAGCATCTCAGCTAAACGTAATTGTTATTAACCGAATTTTATAGAATTTACACAATAGTTTCTTAATTAATTTCACATCCTTTATATTACTTCATTAAGCATCTCAAAACACTATTTCTAAAAATGTTTTTCATTCAACATGGTATGAAATAAGTTTTCGTAAATTTTATTAGTGATATCTTACATTTTACTCATCATTTCGTCACATTGAAAATGTAAAAAAAGGATCATTTTTACAATTTGCTCATTAATAAGAATGTTTTTAATTAGATTGACAATTTCAGTTCTAATTTGGTTTGAAGTAATACAGTGTGGAAGATGTCTGTTTTATGTATGTATAATAATAATAACTATTATTATTATAATTATTGTGATTGATGTTTGATCCGATCTTGTCTGAGACTGAAATCGATCCAATTAAAAACATCCTAAATGTATGAAGATTTCCTAATTTGGATTAGGAATTTGTTTCGAAAGTGAAGGAATATTTAAATTGCAGTTGTAAAAATAAAGAAACAACTAAACATATTTACTTTTTTGTCTGGGCTAAACGAATTTGCTTGTGAAAGTATATACATTTATATGTATGATATGAATTTTCATCCTAATAAAGGTAAGCTACTTGATCAGAAGGTTTAAATGTTTTCATATATGAACGTCTAATAGTATATCAATTTCATTTTTAAGTTAAAAGATGCAGCAAAATACGAAGTATTAACGCAATTGCAAATTTAAGGCTTATAATTTTAGTAATTATCGCATTGAGTTTAGAAAAACAAATATTACATTTTAGGAAATGGAACACTATTATTACTTTTTTATTTTTATAAAATAACTTTGAAGAACAAAATTAATAGGAATTTGGATGAATTATCTGTTAGGCGGGCAAAACACGGATAATACATTTAGCCCAGCCAAAAAAGTAGTCTATATGTACGGACAAGGTTGTCATGGCGCATGGCGACAGCCATGGCGCACAAGCCTTTTCCCATGGCGATGGCGATGGCGCAAATATGGCGTCGCCACGTGACAAAAAAAAACACAAAAACGAACTATAGACACTATACTTGATCAACACAACCACCAAAACAATATAAAAAGTTGAATAACAACACAAAAACAGTTTAAAGTACTTTAAAGTAGTTTAAAGTACTTCCAAAAAACCTAATATTCAAAAGAAGTTTCTTGTCATGCAAAATATGTTAGGATTTAGGCTTGTTAGCTTGTTATTGTTTGATGATTATGCCATAATCATCATCAATCATCCCACTCCTCATCCTCTTAGTCTGAATCTGATAGCAATGGCACATCATCCTCATTGAGTTCATCATCAGAGGGATCTTCAACCTCATCTGTCTCCTCCGCCTCCGCTGTCTCCTCCATCTCCTCTTCGTCGTGCAACTGAAGTGTTGATGCTCTTGTTGTTGTTGCTCTTGTAATGTGATTTGCTTCATTAACACCAACAACTTCTTCCACTACATCCCAATTTTCCATTTCATTTTGCTCGGCAGCTTCATCAATCCATTCATTGCAATCATCAATGTCTTCCAAACATATTTTCATTTTTCTGAAAGCTTGATCTTGAAGACGTTGATTCTGCCGAATGTATACCAAATCATTCATTTTTTTTGGCAGCAACCTTGTCCTTTTCTTGGTTTGAACCTAAAACAAGTACATAATAAATCAACTACAGATAGTGAGATAACTTAAATAGTTAAACAGTTAAATTAAATATGAAAGGCAGATTTATGAACTTACATTTTCAAAAGCACTCCAGTTTCGTTCACATCCAGAAGCACTGCAAGTTAAACTAAGGATCCGAACAGCAAGATGTTGCAAAGTGGGAGACGAGGAGCCATTTGCAAGCCACCAGTCAACTATATTTAAAATTCCAACCAAGTGCTAATTAATAATCTAGAAAACAATACTCAGATTTCAAGATTTAAAATTTCAGCTTTCCATTTCAATTTTGTAGTCAATTACAGCAAGTGCTAGCCATCATTTAACTATTCCAGTCCATAACAGTAAGTTGACTGCAAGTGTAGGTCAATTAGTCAATTACAGTAGTTTTATGACTACGAAAACTCAAATTTTAAATGGTATAGATTGTATAGAATGACAATAGATTTCATATAGAAATTTAGAATGACAATAGATTGCAGTTTAGGACTTTCCAGTTTCCAGAAAGTTGAAATAAAATAAGTTAGTTCTATAAACCTAAAAATGATGGCTAGCACTTGCTGTCCTACAGAGTTAGTTCTATACTTCTATAAACCTACAAAGTTAGTTCTAGCAGAAAGTTTATAAAAATAAGTTCGTAGGCAGTAGGTTACCTCATTACCAAATATAAGTGAATAAAATACTTACATAAGAAAGAGAAGACAAATTAAAGTGTGCATACCCGGTGGTTGTTTGTCCCTATTGTTCATTGCCATATTAGTTCGGAAACTTCCTCTAGCATTTGTATAGTTTGATATCTCAGTTGAGAACTCTACACTCTCTCCAATGCTAGTGGGCAACATCTTCTCCACACACTTTATAAAGCCATCACATACTTCTTCATCTCCGAGGATTCGCCGTGAATTAGGGTAGAAGAATTGAGGATTGAGATAATACCCCGCTGCATGTAATGGAGAATGCAGGTTCTCATTCCAACGTTTATCTATTATCTTCCAAAGAGGCATGTATTTCTCTTCTTTACCTCCCAATGTGTTTTATTCCCAATTTCGCTCTCTCCATAGCCTCATAAATAAAGCCCATTGGAGGCACCTCTCCATCAGTAATTCTCAATACCTTCACTACGGGCAAAGAAATCTTCATAACATAGGCAACACTTCTCCAAAAGCTTTGACGATAAATCGACTCAAAACAAGATTTACCTTCCGTAGTTTTTGCAAACTCACTTTCATACCATTTCGGTGAAGCAAACATTTGCCTCAATGCGTGTTTCTGCGTGAGAAGACTTTGAAGAGTCAGAAAGTTAGTGGCAAAGCGGGTGGCAGCAGGTCTAACTAGCTCTCTCCCCTTGGTAAATTCCTTCATCAAGTCGTGAACAAGGGTATGGCTATAGATGTAGGTAGTAATCCCTTGTGCCGTCTTCACAGTTCTTCTAACTATCGGCATCTTCTTTGAAAAGTCTTCTAGAACAAGGTCAAGACAGTGAGTTGCACATCCCGTTGTGAAGATATGTGGATATCTTTGTTCTATTTTCCTCTTCGCTAATCCATAATTTTTAGCATTGTCGGTCACAACTTGTATCACACTTTGAGGACCTATTTCTTTAATCCACTCATCAAAGAGCTTGAAAAGTGCTTCCCCGGTCTTCTTGTAAGATGAAGCATCTACGGCTTTCATGAACACTGTCCCCTTGCTAGAATTCACGCACAAGTTCACTAGAGTTCTGTGCCTTTTATCCTGCCACCCATCTGACATAATAGTGCAGCCATCTAATTCCCAGAATTTTTTGTGCTCACTGACCACCAGATCTGTTTTGGCTACCTCTTTTCGCAAGAACGTCTCCCTCACTTCATGATACGTTGGTGCTTTAAACCCGGCTCCAAACCTGCCAATCTTTTCTAGTGTTTCTTTCAGCAAAGGGTCATGAACCACATTAAAGGAGATGTTGTTCCTGTAAAACCACAAACAAAGGCTTTGAGCATATTCATCCCTCTCTTTTTTCTTCAAGTGTGATGGGATTGTTGATTGTGTCAATGCCTCCTTCTTACGTTTTTTTGTTGGATATACGAACTTATCCATAGGCCCAGACACACCACCTCCCTCTGCATTTGACTGAGAACCAGTTATCTCAACGTCATCATCTCCATTCATCCTATTGGCACTTGACCCACCAGACTGCTGTACTGTGTATGTACTTCGAAACGTTTGTTCACACACATTTTTTTCTGAGTTAGCAGCAGATTCTTTCAAGACTAGCGCCTGTAGTTCAGCCCTCTTATCAGCGGGAATGAGTTCACACTGTTTTGTGTTGCGGTGCTTCCCAGTCAAGTGTTGTTTAAACCTTGTAATTCCACCTTTAGTCACGTGCCCGCAGTACGTGCAGCGCAATTCATTGTTGTTTTTTTCTTTTACTTTCTCACAGAACTCCTTAGCAAAGGCAACAGACATCCTTTGTGGCTCTGCCTCTTCGGTTACCTCTGTAATAACAATTAACATAAAACAGATCAATGTCATAACTCATAAGTTAAAATCTATGTATAATTGTATATGTTAAACCGTTAAGTGTAAACTGTTATAATTTTGTTAAGTCTTCTAGTATCAAGTACTCTAAACTGTAAAGTGTAAAGTTTTAACTAAATTAAGTAATTAACTTATTAAAGTGTATCAGTTTATCAGTTTAAAACTTTAAATACTTTAAGTTCTAAAGTAAAAACTTCATTTTACAATGCTATAACTAAATTGATAAACTATTTAAAACTTCATTTTACTAGCATGTAGCATGATATCATATTAGCATCTTAATACTAGCTATTTAAATTACTAGCATCAGTTTAATACTTTCAGTTTAAACTTCATTTTACTATGCTTATGCTATAAGTATTTGAATTGATAAATTATCTGATCATAGCATCTATCTATCTAACTAAATTTATTTCAAAGTTTAAAGTGATAAATTGATAAAGACATAAAGTATCATAGGCTCATAGCATATAAATATATTATGCATTTAACATTAAGGAGTAAAGGCTGAGCTGCTCTGTATTTAATACTCACAGCACATGAAGTATTAAATGAAGTTCACATTTTCAGGAATATATATAATATATAAAGTTTTGGATAAATTGTAACTGTATAAACTGAACTTTTCTTCATTTATACACAGCATTAAAGAGGTAGTCGTACCTTGTGTAGTTGGAAGAAGTCAATGAGAGTCATGTGTAGAGCAGCTTTTCTGTCGTTTGCCTTTCTGTAGTTTGTCGCATACCCTTTCTTGCACAGAGCAGCTTTAACTTCCGGATATTGACTTTGTTGTGTTTATTGACTTTAGGGTTGTAGTTAGTAATATGGGCTAAAAATAGTAAGTTTTTGTTACAGTTTTATGGTTATAATGGGTCGCAGATAATTATGGGCCAAAAGGCCACAACTTACAGCTCAAAGACGCGGCCTTTTTTTTAGAAAAGGCAGTCGTATCGCCATGGCGAAGGCGCAGGTATGGCGAAGGCGCAAGAATGGCGCCGCCATGTGTATTTGCCTCGCCACAGCTCTTTTCCGTAGCGCAGGGGTTAAAACTGCGCCTCATGGCGCATGGCGCGCGTGCCATTTGACGCCATCGACAACTATGTGTACGGAAGATTGTTTATTCTTGTGGTTCCAATTGCTTAATTTAATAACTATCCAAATTAACATGGAGTAAGTAATAGGTTCTTAAAAATTTACCAAATAAGGTGGATTCTATCCTAAAGTTATTTGTTACCATATCAATATACAATAAAAATAGAATGTAATAAAGAAATAAAAGATATAAAAAGTAATTAAATAATTGTTATATATGATGACATAGCAGGATTATGTGGCACATTGTATGCTCTTAAAAATTTCCTCTTATATATATGATTATGAGGGTGTTTGGAACTAATTCGACTTCTTTTTTAAAGCAGAAGCAGAATCAGAAACAGTTTTCAGAAGCTGGTCTCCCTCAGCTTCTAAAAAACTGATTCTAGGAGTATATTAGAGCACCAGAATCACTTATTCACTTTCACTCAAACACTCTAACTTCTGCTTCTGCTCTCTGAAGGAGCAGAAGCAATTTTAAGAATCAGATCCAAACACCCCTATGTCTTTTATATATGTATGTATGTTGCAATTTGTTGCATTATGATGATGATGATGATGATATGTTTTTACTGGTTATTAGTAGAAATAACTTTTGTTTTTACGAGACTTAAAGTTTTTATATTGATAAAATAAATAAATATTCATCTCAATTGTATCACAAAAAAAATATATATTCTTGATTTTTTTTCAAACTAGTCTCAAACAATGTAAATTAAGAATATGTACACTTTTATGTCTCCCGCATACTCATATAATTCAAGACATATTTATTTTTCTTCTAATTTTTATTTTATTTGTCCTAGTATGCTTGCATTTTTTATGTAATATGTTTGATCCCTCCAACTCTTATATAAATTTCAAATCAAATGGCCAGTTTTAGTAAAAAACAAAAAAAAAAAAAACGAAACCGAACAAATCAAACCGTGGTTCCAAGTTTTGAAATGTAAAACCGAACCGAAACAAACTTTTTACTTTCGTTTCGTATTTGGTTTTTGGTCAAAACCGAACAAAAAGAAACGAACCCATTACTACATTTCGCACATTTATACATAATTTTTTATGTACACAGACCATTATTGCATGAGCTACATGTGTATGCTATGAACTAGGGGGTGTACTATGCAATGAACTAGGGGTGTACATATTGTCTCTGTGCGCCGATTGTTACGTACAAATGTGTGTGAAATTTTGTACAAATTTCGCGTACAAATAGAATTTTACTTTGTTCTTTTCCCTATAAAATTGGTGCGAATCTAGTACAAAGTGATATTATCGTGCAAATATTTGTTCGGTGCGCCTTTATGTTGTTTGTTTTGCACAATAATGTTTAAAATATTTCATATTAGTCTGCGATGAAATAAATGGTTGCATATTAATGATAAGTGTTGCATTCGAAAAAAGTTCAATTTTATTACCAAAATGCTACTATGCGTGTTCAGCCATTAGATCTTTCAACTGATGGGCCGAGATTAGTTTGTATTTTGAAAATTAATAGCACTTTGTATTGGATCCTTTATCTACATGTGTGTGTATTCTATGGAGATATATATACATATTGTTTAGAAATAATAAAATTTTATTAGAGGAGGAAACTGTACCATCAAGGAATAATGACACAAATTATACTAGAGATATAGACAAAAGTGAGATGAACATTTAACTTGGATAAAAAGGAAAGCATTTAATCATAAACGAACAAAAGCCATTAGCATCAACAGGTTAAAGAGAGTAAGACAAGGTTTCATGTTAGAGAATGCCATGACCTACCATGGAGAGCATGTACTTTCACACGATCAAATGATCACCTGGAACTACTTTCAAAGAGAATGCATCCGAAACTAGACCACAACCATAATTGATGTTTCCAAACAGCACTTCCTCAGAACATCTAAGTAAAAGTTAGGGCCTTGGCATGTTGGCACCAGTAAATAATGTAAACATGCTACCATGCTATCATAGTTTCTTAGTTTCTCATTCTGCAGATTCCCAGCAAGAGCTAGCACAAAAAGTTCTACCTTTCCATCCCTGCAATATCCAATGACCATCTTCTGAAAACAGAAACTCTTTGCGATACCTTGCCTCCGCCTTGTCTCTTAAATCCTTCACAAGCTCCGGGCTAACGGGCATAGGCTTTAACCCAGCTCTCATATTTCGCAAATGCCACTGCTTGTATGTTTCAGGCCTATATAATCTTTCCATGCCCTCGCAAGCTACGATACTCATTATTTCACATGCCCTGGATTCTTCAATACTCAACCTCTGAGGATCATCACCGGGTAAAGTAGCATCATACATATCAAAGTTTGCAGCGTAGAAAAAGAGAGCTTCTCGGAACCGAGTAAAAAAGAAAGGAGAGCTGTGGGCTGCGCTTAGAACTGATTGCACATAAATTTTTGGATTTATTTCACGGATTAAGTTTAGAACTGCACCCTTGGGGAAATCCGGAGAATCAAAATCAACCACTGTTTCATCATGTAGGTTTTCGAATCGATACAAACAGTTAATAGCAACAATCTCACCAGTCACAAGCTTTAAATCCTCAAGTTTAACCGTCTCCCAACTTTGAGTTGTTATGGCATTGTACTTAAATGGTACTCCAAATCGTGCACAATATTTTGTCAAAAAACAACCAGTCTCTTGTACCATTTCTTCTGGACGAAAACCAGGTTGGGGAAGCTCAATTCCAGTTATTCGAAGTTTAGGAGGTCCTCCAGGTCTTTGTGAGAGATTTTTGATAAGAAGGGGCCACTGGAAACCATAAAGAATACCAAAATCAATTATGTGCAGTGATTTACTTTCCAAAGCTACTTTATAAATCATTGTATTTGCAAAGACAAACGATGTTCTCGTGATTGGAAAGGATGAAATGTAAGTGTCATACGTTTTTATCATTCCAGAAGCTGTGATCTTATTTGAAGCTAGCGCCGCATATTGTTGTGCGCCAGTTCCATCCATCCGTGCCTGAAGAGCATTTGCAAAAGCATGACTCAGCCTTTGATTTGCATCACCGGTTGGCGAAGAGTACTGCCTAATCTTCTTTAACTTTTCTTCTGCAATCCTATGATCAGCTTCAGCAATAGACTGTGCACAGCTGGTTAAAAGAGACTCTATATCCACATTTTCACAAGCCCCTCCTTGTTTCTTTGAATATCCCTTCCCACGACCTCGCCCTTTCTGTTGGGTGCTCTTTTCAACTACAGATGGAGGATCCATATTATTGGAGAACAGAAAAATCTTATCAAACAACTCTACTAACTCAAGCACCTCATCCTCCCCATAAACTGCAGATTGCTTACTGCTTCTTTCTTCCTCTAACCCGACATCACCTCGGTGTTGGTGCTTCTTTCCTCTAGAGGAATCAGATGAATGCCCCTTCTCTATATTGAAAAGCAACTGATTTCCGGAAGGAAAATATCCACTTGCTTCCTCTACACCTCTCCTGAATTGCAAGATTGACTCAGTATCATTAAACACATTTGGACCCAACATAACAGTTTCAGAAGTGTCCATTTTGGTATTCACTATACTATTCAAGCGATATGAAGAACTAAATAGTCCGGTACTATAATCACCGGAGCACCCAAATGTGCTGTCCAGGCTCCCAGATTTATTGTTAACAAAAAGAGGTACTTGATAAGGCACTGAAGGGTTTTGATGAAGGGCATCATAAAAGACATTCTCAACAGCTCTGAGGGAATTAGGGTCATAAAACAAGCAGGGGTAATTATTCTCATCAATGTTACTATCATCCATTAGCATCTGGCTAATGTACTTGAGTGCGAGACCAGAGTCATGATCATTTTGGGAGTCCAAAGTAGGAGCATGTGTCATAGAAGTGGCATCCTTATGGCTGTCTGGAATGTCTTGTGATTCTTTTAATGTAGAAAGAATGATCTCATTTTCCAACTGGAATTCGACAGCTCTGAGGGAATTAGGGTCATAAATCAAGCAGGGATTATTATTCTCATCAATGTTACTATCATCGAGTAGCACCTGGCTAATGTACTCGATTGTGGGACCAGAGTCGTGATCATTTCGGGAGTCCAAAGTAGGAGCAGGTGTCATTGAAGTGGCATCCTTATGGTTGCCTGGAATGTCCTGTGATTCTTTTAAGGTAGAAAGAATGATCTCATTTTCCAACTGGAATTCGGTCGCAGAGGAGTCGAGCAACCTGTTGAACCTAGGATCCATAACCATGAATGTGAAGAAACCTATGGAAAGATGGGTAAACAAACAAACAAACAGCATGAGCAATAGTTAACTGAAGAAATAGTTAATAGGTAGTATGTTCAATGACCTATCTTATGTTGTGTAACAACAGATATAATGATTCAAATGGATTTACCAATTATCATAAACTGTAATAAAGTAGCATCCATGAATGGTTATTCCACTGTTCACAAAGTGGGCTAAAATTGATATAGTTTGGGAAAAGCCACTAAAAGTACAAGTATGGAGAGACTATAATTGCTATGGAAGCATACATGAAGGTGTATAAAGAGCAACTTACCCTTTTGATATTTATGAATTAATAATAGTCACAAGGGTGAACTGAAAAGGAGCCACTCAAAGTATCCATTCATGATAAAACAATCAGAGCAGCAACGTTCCAACACTTGAAATGCTCAGCAGTAAAATGTGTTCATTTTGATTATTTTTTATTCAAATTTTCCTTTTTTTCATTACATATAAAATGACATGTTAATGCCTTAGATCGTCACAAGCAGTAAATGAGTCAATCATGGCCGCATATATGGATTATAAACAGACAGAAACGAAATGGAATCATCTTCTAACAAAAAATTCATTACAATACACAATATATAAGAAAATAAGAAAATCGAATGCACATTAAAAGCTCTGGAAATTTGTTTTAATATTTCTTCATCTGAGCACGTACCTTAGACTGAGAAGTGGGATATGTTCGAAGAGTATCAAGTATGATAGTAGTAATTGATAAGCAAAACAGCTCAAGTATACGGAAATAAAAGAATATAAAGTATGATAGCAACAGCTCAGGACTTGACTTGAGAAAGCTGAAGAACATGATTGAGAAATAGTCCTGAAATCAAGGGTCTGATTAACGGCTTAAGTTACCAAATACCAATATGAATACACCTTACAACTTTTGGATGTCATCCCAATTTTCAAGTGTACTCCCTCCGTCCCATTTTAGTTGTCCTACTTTCCTTTTTGGGTTGTCCCAAAATGAATGTCTTGTTTCCTTTTTTGGCATGAAATATGTGGTTCTTATTAATTCACTTTATTCTACTCAAATCTCAACCACAACTTTTACTTTTCAACCACTTTATTAATAATCGTGCCAAATTGAAAGTGGACAACCATTATGGGACGGAGGGAGTATCATTTTTCTTTGGAAAAAAACATTCCCTCAATCCCGCTAAGATTGGCTCAATTTTTCTTTTTCGGTATATCCCACTAAATTCATCTCATACAATTTGGTAGTGTTTGTGTAGCTCTGATCTAAATTATTCTTATTTATTAATTCAAAATTAACAGCATAAAGTTGTGTAACCTCCTCATGTTCCAATGTTAGTGAAACCAAGATAGTATCCTGCTTTAGCTTTAAAAAATTAAAATATAGTATTTTTAAATTTTAAATGTGTAATTCTGTTTAGATTACGGTAGTGAGTGTTTGCTATGCAACCCATCAGCTATTTTTTGAGGATTGACTTTATCAAACAACTATGGGTAAGGTTTGGTAAGCACTAAGAGTTGGTTTGCAACTACTTTTAAAAAAGCACTTCTTAGCTTTTGGCTTTAAAAAAACACTTATTTTCCCAAACACCACAACTTTTATTTTTCTCGGCTTCCGTGTCAAAAGTGTTTTTACTTTTTCTATTACACAAAAAGTACTTATTTCACCAAACACTACGCACTTTTACTTTTCAAAATCACTTTTTTCTCAAACACTATCAACTTTTATTTAACCACTTCTCCCTATTTCATTAAAAAAACACTTTTTTAAAAGCAGAAGATGTTGCAAAGAGACCAACCACTATTTTTTGAATTTTTGGATTGACTTTGAATTTGAAAACACTGCTTTGAGTGGCTTATCACGGTTTTTTCATTTTATATTTAAGTGCCTAATAATATATCGTCCACTTTTCCTCATTAATTAAATATTTAATAATTATTTAATAATAAGTATAAATTGAAATTAAATTAAAATAATAATGACGATGTAATAATGACAAAAAATACCATAATGAATATTCTTACTATTTTTAGTATTATTTCAAAAACTAGTTAAAATATTTATATTCAAAATATCAATACTAAAAACAAATGAATAAATGTGGGTGCATGGGTATGTGTATACAGTATACATATTCAAAGTAATGGTAGCAGTAGTAGGCAGTGTTCTATAAAGCTTCAAAAGGTGCCACCTAAGCGGGCCTAGGCGTGAAGCGGCCCACAGACGCCTCGCCTCCATACAAAGCGTGACAATAGGCGGCCCAACTCTCTAATATTAAAACTTTAGTTTATTTTCAGCCCAAGTCGGAAAAATAAACTCTTCCCAACACACCCATATGTCAAGCGTAGTTCGCTTGGGCTTTGGACTTGCAAATTTGCCTACGTTACCGAAGGCAAAGACCTTATTTTATACGATGTATAGAGAAGTAAAAGTAAGACTCGTTGCTACTTCCGGTGTGGGAATTGCAAAAGAGAGTTTCATTTCAAAGAGTAAAAGTATGAAGCTTCAGTGGCATCCTTTCAAAAAAAAAAAAAAAAAAAGCTTCGGTGGCATGTGGTTTTCATCAGGACATAGCTTCGACTCCTTTGAGCATGTATAGACATTACCCTTTACCAACTCCCCTGCATCTCCACATATACTACGTATAATATAATATTGAAAAGTAAATATGAATATTGCTATACTATACTCCCTACTACTGACCACTGAGTAGGGATGGACTGGGCCGGGCCGAACCGGCCCGGAACCGGACCGGCCCGCTACTGTGCGGGCCCGGACCGGACCGGGCCCGGTTGGCCGGTTCCGGGCTTTTAGCCCGTGTTGGCGGGTCGGGCGGGCCGGTTCCGGGCCCTATTTTTATTGAACCGGCCCGGGCGGTTCGGGCCGGGCCCGGTTCATTTTTATTTTATTTTTTGGTTTTTCAATTTTTTTTCTTTTCCTAGGGTAGGGCTGGGTGTTTTAGGGAGGTTTGGGGCGTGGGGGTGAGGGGGGGGGGGGGGTAGGGAGATAACAAGAAAGTCAAAAAAAAAAAAACATTGAACCGGGCCCGGCCCGGCCCGGCCCGGTTAGGCCCGGACCCGGTCCGGTTCCGGTTCCGGCCCGGCCCGGTTAGGCCCGGACCCGGTATCAACCCGGGCCGGTTCCGGGCCCATGTAACCCGAAAAAAAGCCCGCCCGGGCCCGGCCCGGAACCGGAACCGGACCGGCCCGGGTCCATCCCTACCACTGAGTACTACGTATCTTCATTACAAAATTCACTATAATAATAATAGTAATAATAATAATAATAATAATAAATAATAATAATAATAATAATAATAATAATAATAATAATAATAATAATAATAATAATAATAATAATAATAATAATAATAATAATAATAATAATAATAATAATAATAATAATAATAATAATAATAATAATAATAATAATAATAATAATAATAATAATAATAATAATAATAATAATAATAATAATAATAATAATAATAATAATAATAATAATAATAATAATAATAATAATAATAATAATAATAATAATAATAATAATAATAATAATAATAATAATAATAATAATAATAATAATAATAATAATAATAATAATAATAATAATAATAATAATAATAATAATAATAATAATAATAATAATAATAATAATAATAATAATAATAATAATAATAATAATAATAATAATAATAATAATAATAATAATAATAATAATAATAATAATAATAATAATAATAATAATAATAATAATAATAATAATAATAATAATAATAATAATAATAATAATAATAATAATAATAATAATAATAATAATAATAATAATAATAATAATAATAATAATAATAATAATAATAATAATAATAATAATAATAATAATAATAATAATAATAATAATAATAATAATAATAATAATAATAATAATAATAATAATAATAATAATAATAATAATAATAATAATAATAATAATAATAATAATAATAATAATAATAATAATAATAATAATAATAATAATAATAATAATAATAATAATAATAATAATAATAATAATAATAATAATAATAATAATAATAATAATAATAATAATAATAATAATAATAATAATAATAAGAATAATAATAATAATAATAACAATAACAATAACAATAATAATAATAATAATAATAATAATAATAATAATAATAATAATAATAATAATAATAATAATAATAATAATAATAATAATAATAATAATAATAATAATAACAATTGTACATGTTGTTGTACATTAACATCATTATTTTATCATTGACCGATAATATTATATTTTCCTTTTGTATAATAGGTGCATGTATAACATGATTTTATGGTTTTTAGAACTCTAGAAGCTTATTTTTGTGTGCAAATGTAAAAGTCTGATGCTTATGCATAATATTGATCTAATATTACACAAATATATTTACTAATGCCTCTATAAAAATTTATACATTTAGTAAAAAACTAAAACGCCTTCACGCCTTACCTCTGCCTAAACCCGCCTAGGCCTCAAAGCCTTAAGGCTCGACCATGCCGCCTTGCGACGCCTTACGCCTTTTAGAACAATGGTATTAGGTAGTTACATATATATATATATATATATATATATATATATATATATATATATATATATATATATATATATATATATATAATAAAAGTAAATCTCAACCGAAGAGGGCAGCTGCATATCGGCTTTGAAGGAGAAAACCTACCTGCAGTCGGCCTAGCTTTGTCTAGGTGTTTTGGGGGTGCGTAGTCACCGACAGCAATGGATTTGGCAGCTTTGGGGCTTGGAGAGATTGTCGCGAGCTAGGTTGGTCATTCACTCACGATTCAGTTTTGGCAACGAATTTGGCGACATGCTTTCAGTGCCGAAAGTGATGGCATGGCAGAGAACGGAGGGATCGCGTGGCTAGGGTTTGGAAGTCGTCATTTCAAGTTTGGATTTGGCAACATGCAACTTATTGGTTTATATTTCTTTTCAGCTTTATTTATGTTTCTTTAGACTTTTTATTTTATTTTGTGTGTGTTGTGTTCGCGTGTGGCTTTTCAAAGGTGCTTATGACTGTTTTTTGTCTCGAAGCTCCTATATGTTAAGTGAAAGGAGAACTTTTTTATGTTTGATCAAGGACTGAGTGGACTTTTGGACTATTTTGAGTTTTTGAAGTGGTAAAGAGTATGGTCATCTTAAGAGTCGGGAATAACTCTACGCTTCTCATTTGGTGGTAGGTGATTCGTGCGGCTTCTTTGAAGGTGACCATCTTAATATTTGATCATATGACTGTTCTTGACTACTTTTTCAAGTATTTTGTTATTAGCTTTTTTCCTCTCAACAATTTTTAAAATATGATACTTATTTCTATGTATTCATGTTGTTTGGGATGTAGGGGCTGCTAACAAATTAAATTGTTTTTAATAGATGAGTCTTTAAGCCAATTTAGTTATACTTTCTGCTACATTCTCCCAGAACTTGAAAGCCTAACATGAGTTCTATCACTTTTATGTGTAGTCCCAAAGATTACAAATTTACTCTAGACATGGTATGTAATCGAATTTGTATACTGAATGCTTTTTTAGTTTTAAACACTTCTAATATTCAACGGTGCTACCAATACAGTAATTTAATATCAATGCTCATTTCTTTTAAACGTGATACTCGATCATCGCGTATAAGATAAAATATCCGGTTGTACGGTGAGCACCATACAACCGGGTGTACGGTCAGGGACGAAGCCAGGATTTTACTGGGGGGGGGGGCAAAATGTACTACATAAAAACAAACTATCAAATGTACCGTATAAATAGAGGAACACATTGTATTAAAATTTGTTGTGTAGTTGAATATATTTTGTAAGATTTTATAGGACGATTAAAAAACTCAAAATTATAATGACATGTTCACTTTTTCAAAATCTTTCTTTTATAAGATGAATAATTATATTCTATCTACTTAATTAAATGTAATTACAATAAAGTAATAAATTTAAACGTATACTCCATATATATTATTCATAAGTAATACGTTGTATATATTCCATCACTTTAATGTAATAGAATAGTATGTTAAGTGGATGAAAACAAAAATTAACATAAGAAATTAAAAATTCAAAGCACAAAAAAGTGGATTATGGGAAAACTATTACTAAAATTATAGAAAAGAATGAAAAGTTGGGAGGGGCAATGGCCCCCCTTACACTATGTATACCTCCGTCCCTGTGTACGGTATAGACTCTGTAATATTCAAGGCCGCCGGAGTAATGAAATTTTTACAATGGCTGAGAAATTATATCAAATTTTAAATCCAAAACGCGATGGCATTACGATAAATATGTACAATTTTTAGTGGACCCGCTAAAGTAAAAGTCCATCACTATATTGAAAAATTGTTATACCATATAGTAAATGTGCATTAAGAGGTGGGCAAAAATACATGAATGTTATAACATTTTTATATCGATACGAAATGCAGTAATACTGCGAAACAATGCACTTTTATTAGTACACGTTGCACGACTGAGTTTCATATATTTACAATTATGCCACCTTGTTTTTGGAATAAGTAATGATCTAATCCATCGGATATTTGAGCTAAAAGGTTTAGATGTATTCCTATTTTTAATGGGAACTACTCTGAATATATGTGTGTAGTTGTTACTCATTGGTAGTTGAATGGCGTCTTTAGCATGCGAGGAGTACTTTGTATTTGATCTTTTATGTATATGTGTGTGTAAGGAAAGGAAAAAAATGTGTGTGCATTTTTCTTGAACACTCAAATTAATATGTACAAGAAAAAGCATCAACAGTCTCATCATACTCGGCAGGAGTATTGACTATGTGATTGAGTGTTAGAGTTTTCTTGAAGGAAACAATCAGAGCACCAACGTTCCAACACTTGGAATGCTCAGCACTAAGGTGTTCATTTTGATTCTTTTTTATTTAAATTTTTCTTTTTTCATTAGATATAAAATGACATGTTAGCCTTAGATCGTCACTATATATGGATTGTAAACAGACAGAAATGGAATCAGCTTCTAACAAAAAATTCATTACAATACACAATTGATGGCACGAAGGATTCAGACAATGGCCCAATTACGTAGTGCAGCCCATAAACGGGATCAGCCCTTAACTGGATCAGCCTAATTACAGGATTAGCCCATAAACAGGATTAGCCCTTAACGGGATCAACCTAATTACAGGATTAGCCCATAAACGTGATTAGCCCATAAACGGGATTTATGATTAAAAGTCGCTTAGCCCATTAGGAATCAGGCCCACGATAGGAACCCACAACCAGGCCGGGCTGGACAGCAGACCTCGAGTCTGGGCGGAGTTCTAGTGAGGCCGGGATATTCCTAGGGCTTACGTGGCAAGCTATCACTCGTTGATAGATATTTGGCAACATGCAGAACTTATCCGGAGAACGGCGACTAAAAGGAGAAAGCAATCGTGTGGGAATCAAGCATCGAAGAGTTCTATTTCGAGCAAGAATATAATTCATTAATTGAGCATTTATTGTATAAGATTTCTTCCATAATTCTACTTCCTAATCTCTATAATTACTTGATGTAAACACCCTACCAAGGGATCGGCCCCCTGATAAAATTCTAAACCGAGGCTAGACTATTGCTAGTTCTCCGGAATAAAGAGTAAAACTGTCTTACACTGCCATATTATTCTCATATCTATGTATATTTAGCTCTCGTAGTTGGATTTAACTCCATCATTTGGTGCTCTCGTTGAGAGCCGAGTATACAAAGCAGCGATGGTTCATGGTTGGATCGAATAGCAATAATCGCGTTGGTAGCAATCAAGGCGGAGATCATTTCAATCATGTCGTGATCGAAGACGAAGGGTCAAGGTCCCGAAGGAGCGATTTTAGGAGGCGCAACGACAACACCGCCACGATGCTACTGATTGTCCAATAAATCCGATGAATATACTCTATGGTAGGTTCAAAGTTTCACGACTACCTAACCATATGCAAAGTCCCCATCTTCCTCTGTCAAATCTTGTATGTTTATGTCTTACGCCAATTTCTCATTCATGTGGGGGGTATCGTTGGAAAAATGGTTTTACGAATTATATATTATTTGTAGAAAATCATTTTGAAATGAATGAGAAAGTGTAACCCGAAATTCTCTCTGAAGCAATGTTCGTGTAGGACTTGTCCCGCGCCACCGCCACCGTCGTCCGACTAGCTGGACAGGTCGAGTCGGGTTTCGAGTACAGGTTGATACTCGCGTGGCTTTAAGAATTAAACATAGTTTTTTGTACAAATTATTTTCGGATAGAAGCAACTTAAAGAAAAGCGCCGCTACCTTTTATTAACAGGCACCTTTTGAGATTGTGTCTCTTGGCCCAAGCACTATAAATCCTATTACCCGAAATAGGACTAAAAAGGTTTGAAAATTCCAAAATAGGACATGTTTTTTATTCCCAAAATAAGACTAATTACTGTATGTTTTGGCAGTACCAGAATTCAAACATGCCAATATTTTTCAAACTTGGCAGTAATTACTCCTATTTTGGGAATAAAAAAACATGACAGTCCTATTTTGGATTTTTCAAACTGTTTTAGTCCTATTTCGAGAACTTTCCCTAAATCCAATTAGGAGGCCTGTGTTTTTCACTAGATAAGAAATCCAAAATGCTCCACACTTTCTTAATCTTCCTCATCCAAATTCCACCACTTTAGTGCATCATTTGGTTCGCCGGTGTCCTTTGGGAACGTAGAAACCGTTCTATCCTGGGAGGCGATTGCTACTTGTGTTGTGCCAAATTCGTCTTAAGGAGACAATAATTCATCGGGTTCGGTTTCATCGATCGTAGTATTTTCCATTTACTAGTATATCTGAATTTTGGACAACAATATGATCGTCTCTAGTTCTCTTCTAAAGCTTGATTGGAGATTTCCCTAAAATCTCATTCAAAGGAAAAAGGAAAATAATCCTACTTTCCACGGAATCAAACCCCTCTTTACAATTCGATTGGATTCCCTTATTTTGAAGGAAAAGAAAACAACTTTTCATGGAACATCAATTTGTGATTTATGTGTCATGTAAGGAGTAAAATTCCCTCCTCTTGATTTCTTGGGAAAGTGTAACATTCCAATTTCTCCTAAACAAATACTCTCTTACACCTAATTAATTCTTTAAGAGGTAACATTGTAAGAAAAAATAAAATTACTTTAGAGAGATATCATTGTAAGGACCATAAAATACTTCAAAAAAACGTATGAAGTAATCACGGATGTGCTTTATGCTTCATTGTAGGTTTCATGCTTGCTGGCCATGACGGAGTTATACCAGACAAGCCACATCAGGCAAGATAATGAACAAGGACCGGTTTATATCAAATTCCCAGTTTTGGCAAATTAAAGTGCGTATAGGTCTACAGTGTAAAACCGGATCAAAAATTCCTTTTGTACACGTTTTTGTACCCATCAGTACACGCATGTGTCTGTGAGAGTTTTTTTTTGTCTGTGAAGTGCGGTCCACAGACAAAAGCTGGTTTGTTTTGTCTGTGAAATTTTCCATAGACAAAACAAGCGAACTTATGTCTGTGGACCGCGCTTCACAGACAAAAAAAAACTCTCACAGACACATGCGTGTACTGATGGGTACAAAAACGTGTACACCAAGAATGGTTGAAACCGGATAGATCTAGATGTGTCTCCAATGTCAGAACAACACATGGGAGAAGGCAGAGAAATTATGATAAACAAAAAGCACAATGGCAACAAGTTTTTTTAGGGAAAGTTCCCGAAATAGGACTAAAACAGTTTGATAATTCCAAAATAGGACTGACATGTTTTTTATTCCCAAAATAGGAGTAATTACTGTCAAGTTTGGAAAATACTGTCATGTTTGAAGTCTGGTACTGCCAAAATATGTCAGTAATTAGTCCTATTTTGGGAATAAAAACATGATAGTCCTATTTTGGAATTTTCAAACCTTTTTAATCCTATTTCGGGTAATATCTCGTTTTTTTAACAAGAGTAAGCAATTATATGATCACATGAAGCTACTTTAAAGAGTGTGTTATAGGATGTTTTTACTTGGACTGTAATTTGTTGGTCTGGTCTGGTTTCTTTGTATTTTTATAACTACTCAAGTCTGGTTTGGTCTGGTCTGATCTGGGACAAATTGTAGTCCAAGTAAAAACATCCATAGAAAATACAAAAAAAAAAATCTGTCTAAAAAACAGAAAGAAAGGGAAACTAGAAAACCACCTTGACTGATGTTCTAAGATAGCTCTTCCTCTAACAACTCAGGTCTCTAAATTCTTGAGTGTTGGAATACAAATAGGGGTTCCATTATACCATAGCTTCTGAGTTTCTTATTATGCAGATGTCCAGCAAGAGTTACAACATAGAACTCTACCCTTCCACCCTTGCAGTAACCAATGACCATCTTCTACATACAAAAACTCTTTGTGATATCCTGCCCTCACCATTTCTTTCAACTCCTTTACAAGCTCTGGCCTTATGGGCATAGGCTTTAACCCAGCTCTCGTATTGCATGATTGCCACTGCTTGTATGTTTCAGTTCTCTGTAATCTTTGAATGCCCTCACATGCAATTATATTCATTATTTCGCATGCCCTGGATTCTTCGAAACTCAACCTATGAAGATCATTACGAGGTAAAACAGCATCACACATATCAAAGCAAGCAGAGTAGTAGAAGAGGGCTTCTCGAAACCGAGTGAGAAAGAAAGGAGATGTGTGGGCTCCACTCAGCACCGATTGCACATAAATATGAGGATTTATTTTACGGATTAAGTTTGTAACTGCAATCTTAGGGCTGTCTGGAGTATCTGCAACAACCATTGCCTCATCGAATAGGTTTTCGAAACGAAACGAACAGTTAATAGCAACCAAATCCCCACTCACAAGCTTTAAATCCTGAACTTTAATTGTCTCCCAATTTTTCCTTGTGATGGCATTGTACTCAAATGGTACACCGAAACGCTCACAATATTTTGCCAAACGACAACCGGTCTCTTTTACCATTTCTTCGGGGCGAAAACCGGGTTGGGGAAGCTCAATTCCGGTTATTCGAAGTTTGGGAGGTCCACCGGTACCGGGTCTTTGTGAAAGATTCTGTATAAGCATGGTGTTGGGTGTGTATTTCAGCTCAGGTCTCCAACCAAAACAACTCACACACACCACCCCAGGATTGTTTAGCCACTCCACTCACCTTGTTTACCACTCCCTCACACTCTAACTCCACACAAAGGAAGGAAGAGGAGCTCACTGTATTGAACTCACCGTATCTCTCAAAAAGGGAAGAGGAGCACTCAATTATAGTAGGCTATTATTTGCTCATGGGTGTCAAAGACAAACAAAGGTGGGGCTCGAGACAGGCTAGCAAAAGTCAGGAGGCCAAGAGACAAATAATACCAAGTCAATAAGAGTTGGCAACGGATAGGAAAAGCCAGGCTAGCTAGATAAGTAACAGTGTAGGAAGTAGGAATAAACATAGGGTGCAGGCCTTAACATAATAAGTGGAAGGGAGGCCTTGGTAGGACCAATACCTCCAACATTCTCCACCTTATTGGTCCTAGGTGGTGTAGAGTAACAAATACACGGTTGTGAGGAGACTCATCATCGCTGAACCATTACAAGTACATCATTGCGATCATACAAGTAATAGATGAGAACCAAAGTTCCCTTTCGGACCAAGCTTACCGTGCAAACCCACTTCACGATGGACTGAACTCTACCAATCGGTCCTCGAGTTCAGAACCAAAACCATCACAAAACTATTAACAAGCACAAGGTATGTTAATAGACCACGCAGGCAAGCATCCGGGAGAAGTTGGGGATCCCAACTAATCCAACAACCACACAAAGCAAGTACACAGAAAATAAAAGAAACAATAGTATTTCTATAACTAGCACAGGCGGAGCTCACATAATCACTTGGTATCACATTTTCAAAACACAAAGAAAATAGCATACCAAATATCACAAAGATTTTAATTAATAGAGAATTAAGCACATTTAAAGCAAATTCAGAGGAAATATAGTCAAACACATTGCACATATTATTTCTCACATGCTTCCTAATGTCTCTATCTCTAATAACATGGCAATCACGCAACTCAAGCATATTGCACACAACATTCATATCATGCTCCACCTTAATAGAAATATTATTTTCTTTATTTTCAACATGAAAAACATTTTCATTCACAAATTTGGGTTTGGTTTCAACAAATAAATCGGAATGAACTTCAACAGGAAAATGCTCCACCTCATTTGGAGCAACATCAGGAGAAACAAGCAGGCAAGGAAATTCATTTTCAACAAAAAAGACATTTCTACTCATCAACACATTGAAGCAAGTTTCACTCCTACACCAAAGCCTATAACCTTTCATGCAATCATGATATCCTAAGAAAACATATTCCTTAGTCCTAGGTTCAGATTTATCATTCACACGATTCACATAAGCAGCACAACCAAACACTCTCAAATTTGGCAAATTAAGTGGTTTGCCCATGAACACAGATTCAGGGCATTTCCCTCCTAAGGGAACAGACGGGGACAGATTAATCAAATCAACAGCATAACAAATAGCTTCCCCCCAGAACTTATTAGAGAGCCCAGATGAAGCTAACATAGCCCTCACCCTCTCTAATAAAGTTCTAACCATCCTCTCAGCAACCCCATCCGGTTGGGGTGTGGAGGGAACAGATTTATGCATAGAAATACCCCAAGTATCACATAAATCACCAAGCTGATCATCACAGAAATCAAAACTGACAGTGGTCCTTAAAAAATTTATTTTCTTACCGGTTTGTTTTTCAACAAGGGTTTTCCAGTTTTTAAACTTATCAAAAACTTCAGATTTATTCTCAATCAACAAAACCCACACTTTCTTTGAAAAATCATCAATCAACGTCAGAAAATAATTTTTCCCACCATGAGTGGAAACACCATAAGGACCCCACAAGTCAGCATGAATACAATCAAGTACATCAGTACACTTAGGTAGATCAGGAAAACCAACTCTAGACTGTTTTCCTAGCACACAGGGTTGCACACAATTCACAGAATCAAATACAGGTTCAGCATGACAAACATACAAGTTGTTTTTCATCTCAGCTTTGAAAACAACTAAACAACCCTTCACAACTTTCATGATTCCCTTTCCCCATTTTCCCTTCAAACCATCATTTTCAAGAGAAGCACAAGATAGCAAATTACAGCACAGCTCAGGAACATGCCTAACATTCTTCAAAGTAAGCACATAACCAGAAGAGAACCTAAGGCACACATCTCCTATTCCTAGCACATTGCATTTCTTCTTATTTGCTAAAGACACAAAGCCATGCTCAATCTCTCTATAGTTTGAAAAAACATATTTCAAAGGGGACATGTGAAAACTACAACCAGAATCTACCACCCAATCTGATTTACCCAAAGAATCAGATATCACAGAACTCAAATAGTCATAATCACATAGATTTTTCATCATAAAAACATCACCTAAATCATCTACACACGTAGTCAAATTAGCATGCTCACTATGCTCATTTTTCCTAGATTTAGGACAGTCTTTTATGAAATGACCAGGTTCATGACAATAATAGCAACGTCTCGAATTAGACCTAGACTTAGATCTATGTCGTCTACTATTATTTTCTCTACCCCTCACATGCATAACTTCCTCGGATTTTCTACCCTCACCCATTTGTTTTAAATCTAATTCCTTACTCTTAAGACCATTTACTACAATGTCAAGAGTCACATTATCTCTACCATACTTAATAGCAGATTTCACATCACTAAAGGAATCAGGAATAGCATTTAAAAGAGCAATAGGGGAATAATCATCTATATGTTTATCACCACACAACTTAATATCTGAAATAAGTTTGGTAAAAACATCTAGATTTTCTTCAATATCTATAGACATATCTAGTCTAAATTTGAAGAATTTCTCAAGTAAAAATATCCGGTTAGGCAAAGAGGTCTCAGTATACAGTTCATTTAATTTATTCCAAAGAATTTTAGCACTTTCTAAAATTCCAACTTTTCTAATCACAGAGTCAGATAAGTTCAAATAAATCACAGAACATGCATTTTCATTCATTTCAGCCCTTTTCTCTTCCGTGTCAGAAATTAAATAGGTTTCACCAACTGCTTTAAAACATTTTTGTTGTATTAAAATACATTTAATTTTTTGCTTCCAAATGCTAAAATCAGATTTTCCATTAAATGGAGCCATACCATACTGATTATAAGCAGACATTTTCACAGAGAAAAATAAGCAACAAAAGAAAATGTAAATTTCGCTGAAAAACAATTTAAATATTTATAAGGCTACAACTATACGGAGCAACTAGCACGAACACGTGGGGAGTATTAATGAGCACCAAACTCAACTTCAAACCCCTTGTTCTTCCGTATAAGCACGAATAAATAATAAATTTTCAGCACAAACACAATACAACAATTTAATCAATTTTAACAGCAGTTATAAACCTAAAATATAATTTCTACACAATAAAAGACTAAATCACTACAAAAGCGATAAAAGGGATAAAAGTCAATATACCGGAGCGAAACCCTAGGAGAGGCGTTTCGACCTTACCCACCCAATTTAAAAATTGGGATTTTTCTTGACTGTTGACTGAAAGTTGGCTGATTTTGACCAAATCCACCAAGAGCTGCTGCTTGCTTATTAATTGCTAGCACCTTCACGTGAAATCAATTGCCAACTCCTGTGCTCCAAAGTCAAGCCTCCACTTGAGTAAACACGGTCAACACCTCCAAAGCCAAATCCATGAAGTGAACTTCACGTGAAGCCAACTTGTTGTGTTCCACCTTTCTGCGACCAACAATGAAAGGACAACGACAAAACAGCCCCAGACTCCAACCTCGATGAACGGCTCTCTCAGCTCCTTGTGTCAATCCTGCGGCCAGACCTCTGCGATTAGCGTCCAAGCTACAAAAATACAGGGGCCCACGCCCTTCGTCTCTATCCTCAACGACCAGTAAACGTGGTCTGCTACAGCCTTCTGCGAGCAATGAGGAACACAGGGGTTGGCTTCGATTGACGGTTCCACCGGCCAACCAGCTCCGGCTCCAGCAGCGATCTCCACCCACGAACTCCGGAATCGACGAACAGCAGGCGGATTTGGGCGGTTTCCGAGCGACGGCTTCAGCGACGAGATTCCAGGTCTCTCAGCTAGCCTCCTGCGACGGGATTCCAGATCCGGCCTCGAGCTCAGCAAACCACGGCGAGCTCTCTCTCTGGCGACGACTCCCAGGTGGACTCAGGCTTCAGCCGCGAAAGATTTCAGCGGCAAAGCAGTCGGCGAGCAACGACCTCTCTGGCGACGAAGGTGAACTCGATGGCAAGGACGAGTAGTGAGAAGACCTCCACTGTCTTCAATCAACAAGCTTTGGCTTCCCAGACCTCGAATCAACGGCGGACGGTGGCGGACGGCAGCGGACGGCGGTGGAGGGCAGAATCCGGCTAAATCAACGGCGACGACAACACAAGCTCTGATACCACTGTTGGGTGTGTATTTCAGCTCAGGTCTCCAACCAAAACAACTCACACACACCACCCCAGGATTGTTTAGCCACTCCACTCACCTTGTTTACCACTCCCTCACACTCTAACTCCACACAAAGGAAGGAAGAGGAGCTCACTGTATTGAACTCACCGTATCTCTCAAAAAGGGAAGAGGAGCACTCAATTATAGTAGGCTATTATTTGCTCATGGGTGTCAAAGACAAACAAAGGTGGGGCTCGAGACAGGCTAGCAAAAGTCAGGAGGCCAAGAGACAAATAATACCAAGTCAATAAGAGTTGGCAACGGATAGGAAAAGCCAGGCTAGCTAGATAAGTAACAGTGTAGGAAGTAGGAATAAACATAGGGTGCAGGCCTTAACATAATAAGTGGAAGGGAGGCCTTGGTAGGACCAATACCTCCAACACATGGGCCACTGGAAACCATAAAGAATACCAAAATCTATGACGTGCAATGATTTACTTTTTAATGCTACTTCGTAAATCATTGCATTCCCAAGGATAATTGATGTTCTAAAAAAGGGTAGAGATAAATTGTGGGTGTGAAAGGCTTTTATCATTCCAGAAGCTGTGATCTTATTAGAAGCTAGGGCCGCATACAATTGTGCGCCAGTTCCATCCAGCCGTGCTTCAAGAGCATTTGCAAATGCATGACCTAGCCGTTGATTTGCATCACCAGTTGGCGAAGAGTGCTGCCTAATCTTCTTTAGCTTTTCTTTGGCAATCGTATGTTCAACATCAGCAATAGATTGTGCACAGCTGGTTAAAAGAGATCCTATATCCACACCTTCACAAGTCTGCGGTTGTTTCAGTGAATGCCCTTTCCCATAACCTTGCCCATTCTGTTGAAAGCCCATTTTTATTCCAGAAGGAGAATCTATATTATTGGTAAACAGCAAAGCCTTATCAAACACCTCTGATAACTCAACCTCCTCCTCCTGGTGAAAAGCATACTGCTTACTGCTCCTTTCTTCCTCTAATCGGACCTCACCTGGGTGGTGATGCTTCTTCCCTTTAGAAAAATAGGCTGAATGCGACTTCTCTATAGTACTGAGAACCAACTGATTTCTGGAAGGTGAGAATATAATCTCTTTCTCCTTATCTCTCTTGAGTTGCAAGTCAGACTCCGTATTACTACGTATATTTGCATCCAAAGTAGCAGTTCTGACAGAACCTTTTTCATTACCCATAATACTATTGAAGTTATCTAAAGATCCATTTGACCTCTCCTCATATGATGTAGATTCTCTGATTCTGTAATCACTTGAACTCCTAAATGTTCTGTCTGGGCTTCCAGATTTATAGTTAACAAAAAGAGGTTCTTCATTATGTGATGAAGGGGTCTGATAAAGGGCATCATAAAAGGAATTCTCGGCAGCTCTAAGGGAAACAGGGTCATAGAACTTGCTGAGATTATTATTCTCTTCAATGTCACTATCCGCTAGTAGCATCTGACTAATGTACCTGAGAGCGGGACTAGAGTAGTGATCATCCTGCAAGTCCAAAGCAGGAGGAGCATGTGTGACTGAATGAGCATCCTTATGGGTGTCTGGAATGTCTGTTGATTGTTGCAAGGTAGAAAGAATGATCTCATTCTCTAACTCCAATTCATTTGCAGATGAGTCAGGGAACCCCCAGTGATCCATCACCATTAATGTGAAGAAACCTATTTCCACATGGAAAGATAGGTAAACAGATAAGCAGCAGCAGTAATCAGCTTAATAAAGGGAGATAGAGAATGTTCAATACTGATATTTATGTTCGTTAGAACACTATAATGATCAAAATGGATTTCTAGAATATCAAAACTGCAATATAATAACATCTATTATGGTCACTCTACCACATTTATGGCGGTTTCGGTCTGTGTGGTCTGCCCATTAACCACAAAGAAGTAAAATTGATATGGTCGGGGGAACTGAAAAGCCACCAAAGGTACAAGTAGAGATAGTTCTTCAAAAATTAAAAATGAGAGACTATGATCGCCATGGCAGCATAAATGAGGGTGTAGAAAGAGTAATTCACCCATTTCTGATCTATAAATATGAAGGATAACCACAAGGGAGAAACTGAAAAAGTAACATTTCATGATAACACAATCAGAGCACTAACTGTCCAACACATCGAATCCTGAGCAGTAATAGGCGATCATTTTGGTTGATTTTTTTTTTTAACTTTCACCTTTTTCACCTGAATATAAATGACTAGTTAATGAATGCCCGATCGTCGACACAAGCAGTAAATGAGTTTGACCATAGATCGATTACATACAGACAGAAATGAAATCAGCTTCCAATCGGAAGTTCAGTCAAATATAACGTGATACAGGTTGAAGAGATATGGGAATAATAGTATTCGTATATTGTTTACAGTACACCAATGGGTGTTAATATAGTTACACGTACATACAATTGATAAGATCAACTAACTGGAATTCCTAAGTATTAGGAATGAACCTGGACGTAGCTAAAGATATACATCAAGAATATACACACGTGCAGTAACTAAATAATAAATATAATAAAGTAATAAATTATTTTCCAATACGCCCCCACAAGATGGAGGATCCGTTGGAGACTCCCATCTTGGACCGAAACCGCTCGAAGAGAGTTTGACCAAGAGGTTTGGTAAGAATATCGGCAATTTGAAGCTGATTAGAAATGTGTTGAACCTGCAGTTGACCACTTTCAACAAGATCACGAACAAAAAAGAAATCCAATGCAAGGTGTTTCATTCGTGAGTGAAATACTGGATTAATGCAAACATATGTAGCCCCCTGATTATCACAAAAAAGACGTGGAGTGGATATCAACTGAACACCAAGATCAGTTAGAAGATTACGTATCCAAAGTAGTTCAGCACTGGCATGAGCTACGGCTCTATATTCCGCTTCGGTGGATGAACGTGAGACCGTCTTTTGCTTGGCTGACTTCCATGAGACAATATTAGACCCCAAGTAAACCACATAAGCTGTAGTGGATTTTCCACCATCATGGATTCCACCCCAATCGGAGTCAGAAAATACCGATAATGTTAAGGCTGAATCACGGTTGAGTACAAGACCATAGTCTAAGGTGCCTTTAAGAT